CTTCGGTTTTGGTATTTTGTGTTTCTGATCTCGGACTGTTACCTCGGACTATTATATTCTGCCTCGCCCTCTTGCTACGAACTGCCACGGTGTATGATTATCGGACTTTCTCTTTTGGACAACGAACTTTGGATTCCCCTGGATGTATGTGTTTGCTGGCTCTGACCTGGGACTGATACCGACCGTGAGTTTTGTGTTCACCTTGTCCTGTATGGTTTTGTTTTGTTTTAGGTCTCTTATTAAGGAGACGGGTTTTGTTCTCCACTTGCTCGTCTGGCATTATAATTGAGTTCACCAAACACTTTTCGGCCGCATCCCGCGCGCCGACCCTGACATCCTCTGCTGTGCCTTCTTGGTGATGGTGCTGGTGTTGGATGTCCACTTCAGGTCCTGGAAGATAGTAGAACCTAGGAACTTGTAGGACTTTATTGCTGATACAGTGCTGCCAAATATGATGGTGGTGGTAGTGGCGGACTTTGTAGAGGGAGGGGCACAGGGCACACCACCAACTTCCTGCCTGTACGCAGACTTGTCACCGTCTCGAAGGAGGCCAAAGACCACTGTGTTGCCTGTGAACTTCAGAAGTTTAACAGAGGGATCCCCTGAAGGACAGCCATTGGTGTAGAGGAAGAAGAGCTGCAGGGAGAACACACACCCCTGTGTGCCTGTGCTGATAGTCTAGGAGCTGGATGTGGTTTTCCCCAGCCTCACCTGCTGCTTCCTGTCTGTTAGAATGCTGGTGATCTATTGACAGGTGTGAACTGGTTCAGTTTAGAGTGGAAGATGTCCAGGATGATAGGGTTCTGGGGAGATGGTGTTGTAGAGGGAGCAGCTACTGGTGTTGTGAAATGTTACTTCTCAAACCTGCATTAAAACACAACCAGGTCATCTGGTGATGGTTCTCCACAGCATGGGGGGACGGTTTCCTGTAGCCGGTGATGTTCTGTAAGTTTCTCCACACAGACAATGAGTCATTGGTTGAAGACAGTTTTTTTAACTTTTCAGAATATCTTCTCTTTGCTACTCTGATCTCCTTTGTCAGTGTGTACAGGATCCTGTCAATACTTCTGTAGGTCTCCTCCTCAGCATGGCAAAGCTGCTCAGGTTTTACTGTACACCAGGGCTTATTGTTGTTGTATATGCAGAAGGTCTTGGTGGGGACACATGTCCTCGCAAAAGCTGATGTATGATGCCATAGCGACAGTGAGTTTATCCAGGTCTGTAGATGCAGCTTCAAAAACACTCCAGTATACACAGTCAAAGTAGGCCTACAGATATAAATAGAATGGTTTGCAGTTAATGAATAGAACCTCTAAGCCCATGTTGAAAGTTTTTCCTAATACAGTGATATACATACACCAACTTTCAACTATGTAGAAGCAAATTTCTCTGATAATTCCGTTACACATTCTGCTCTGTGCAGCTGAAACCCTGGCAGCTGGACAGCACTGGACAGCTGGATCGAGTCACTGAGCCACGTCTCCAGCACAGAGCAGCACAACATGAGAAGTCAGAGTTAGATGAGACGCAGTTCATCCATTTTACTGGTTAGAGATTGGAGATTTGCTAGATGAATAGACAGGAGTGGCGTCTGGGTTCCTCGCTGTCGCAACATTTTCCCTGCCTGTAGATAGCTGCTCCTCCTCCAACTAAAATGTCTACACAACTTTTCCATGTGTAAAAATGGGAGAAAAAGTGTTTGGAGTGAGGTGTCAACTGTTCAAGAGCTCCTCTCTGGTAAGTAATCTGAGATGGATTACAGAAAACCAACAACAACATAGTCCAGGTGTCAAATACAATATAGAGAAAACTAAATAAGGAGAAGACAGACAATATGAAACAAACCGAGCCCAAACCTTTCTGTATTATAGCAAGCCATACTACATGGCTTCACCTTAGCTGTTTCAAATGTTTTCCCAAGTGTATTTCCATCTAACTGAAGTGTTCGTTTTGCTGTTATTTGATGTTTAATGTAACTTCAAATGGGTTGAATGGTACATCAACCGTATATACAACTGTATATATGGAAGATTAAATTACATTACCTGTACCTCTGGGTGTTTGAGATAATATCATTTATTTAACTTCATATTGTTAACATATATTTGAAGATCTTGTATTTAAAGTTTTTTTTTTTTAAATATAAAAAATAGGCACAATATGTATTAACCAGCTCCTGTTAGATATGAACTTGTACACGTACAGGCAGGTACTGCATTAGCTGGGTCCTAGAAATGCTGCACTTTGCTGGTGTACAAAAGCAGAGCTACCTCATTTTTACACAATGCTGTATGTAAGTGACACATCCAGTAGGTGACATGCAGAAGTCAAACGGAGCCTGCTCGGACATTTCAGCGTTGGTCCTCACATCCTCAAAGGGTTGTTTGAGAGTTAAGACACAGTTTTAGGGGTTAAGGGGTTAGGGTTTAGCATTTAGTTGTAAGGGTTGGGTTTTAGGGTTGGAGAAATAAATGCATTAGGTCAATGACCAGCATGCACATGTATGTGTGTGTGTGTGTGTGTGTCCTTCACCTCCATAGGCCACAGTGTCTTGTGGGTCTGTGGTCAGACTCTGTCTCAACTTTTTCTTTTTGTCCTCAGTGACATCCAACCCAAGGAAGGACAAGGCCTTAGAGAGATGGAGACAGAAAGAAAAACAGAAATAGGAATAAAGACAGAAGAACTGTAGCAATATGCAGACTGTTTGTAAAAATGATGAATAAAAGTCTTTAAATCATGGCCAAAAGTTGTTGCTCAGTACAACATTTACATATGTAAAGGTTTGTCCACTGAGACTTGTTGGTACACCTGGGTTGACAAAATATAAGAAATAGCTTTGAATGGAACACAGTACAAATCAACAGCAGCACAATTTAAACCTCCAAAATGACAATCAGTCTGAATGAACACCTTAGGGTGAACACCAGTGTTCCAGTTTCAAGCAAAAACTGGAATACTGAGATTTACATCATGATCACTGGATTAAACAATGTTTAAAGGTTATACCTTACATTTTTCTACAGGGCTGAAGCCAGGATTTGAGAAATGTTGAGATTATGAGGTCAAATTCTCTAATTTGTATCCACAATCACTCATTTTTGCCATTAGGCAACTTTGCTGCAAAGAGAACTTTCTACAGTCAAACCTGATCACTTATTAGTGCACATGCATCACTAGGGTGAAGATGAAGTAGAAAGAAACAGTGGGCGGGATAGAGAAAAAGGTGGAGAGAGAGAGAGGTGAGCACGGATTAATGCACTTATCTAGGCAATTAAACATAAGCATGGAATAAACACCCCGCATCTTGAAAAATCACAAACATGCTCAGTATCACACACCAGGAGAAATATATTCAGCAGCATGAAACAAATTAACTAGAAGACAAAACTCACCAAGTCTAACTTGTCTGATTTTAGACGGATGTAGGGGTCCAGTGTTATCTTTCTTCTGGCCTTTGTTGGTGAACTCTGGCTGGTTGAATCTACAGCAAGGCAAAAAGAAACACAAAAAGAGATTAGGGTGGACAAAAGAGAAGGAAGGTAAAGATGAAGGAAAAATATAGTTCAATTTTGGCAAAATGTTGTATGAAACAACAGTCCTATGTAGAAATGATAGTAACTGTATGCAATATCAAAACAGAAGTTATTGGCCTTTAAACTGAATGAGGAAAGTGTATGTGAGGCCACAGTGCACCCTAGTAAACAAGAGAAATACCATGAGATAATACCAGAAGGGATGGACAGATAATCTCTGTGGATTTGGTGGAAGTGGATGTAGTGTGTGTGGTGGGGCAGATGATTAAAAAGAGAGTAGTGAAGGAAAGGTGGATGATTATGTAGTGTGACAAGAGGAGGCAGACAGCCAATGCCTAATATTAATTTGGTAAAGATGTTTGTCCCAGATTTTTGTGTCTGCTTGTGATGGTGATGGCAACCTCTGAGTGTGTCTGCACACTCCCTGTTGCTAGCAATATCCACTGAATGTGGGCACTAGCCTCCTACCTCTCCTTCTCCCACATCACCCCTGTCTGGCGGTGATGACTGACAGCAGCCATACTTTAAACCCTTACACCCAGAAACCTTTCCACATCATACACTTTGTTATTGCAGCATAAGCAATCTAAAAATTAGGTGTATTTTTATATTCCCATTTGAAGTAAGGACAAAATACATAAGTACCAAAGACATTTATTTATGAATTACTTATCACTGTGTTGTTTTTATTTATACTGAACAAAAATATAAATGCAACATACAAGACTTACAATTTAGAGGTATTAGAAACCACATTGCAAGTCAGAAACTTTACATTACATTCAGCAATTAATGATCAAAACAACTGGCAAAACGTATCTGGAGGTCATGTACAGATAATCAAAGAACATGCCAAATCCATGTTATGTCTGTCTTTTACATGGCCCATTTAGATTTTTAACCAATAGGGGCCTGGAAGGGATTTAAGTGGCCATAACACTGAGGAAAATAACCTTAATCCAAGCTAAAAGAATTAGGGCAGGCGAGCGGGTGACTTTGAGCCAGGTCTATGGGTAATCGTTGGCATTAAAGCAGCTGGTGTATTTGAAACCATACAGTTTTATCAATAAACACTTTTACTAAAAATACTATTTTCACTCTTGAACAAAAGTCCATTGTTTTCATGTGCATCAGATGGTCACCAGTAAAACAACAGTTAGATTAGTGACAACTGTTACTAATCTTCATATCTCACTGAATCTAAAAGTACCTTAAATTAGGTTATGACATGTATAGTTTCTTACCCCACAGGTTGTTTGGTGGAAATCCCTGATCTAAATTAGCACTAACACATTTTAACAACATAGTTTTATTATATCAATTGATTAATTTACTGTAAGTATTCTACATGCATGGTACCTAGCCTGATTGAGCTTACAAAACACTAGACAGCAACTACAACTAAGATGACAAACAAACATAAATTTAAAGAGCATATTTCAAAAGATCCAATTAACATAGGACAATGTAGGGGATACAGAATACTGTCCTATTCTACATCCACATTTTTTGTTGCCATAAACAATAATTATTTTTACAGTACAACATGTTACCTCAAGATAAAAAATGATGAATATTTTCATATAGCAGACACCTATGGTAGGTGTACTGTAGATAATAATCACAAAAAAAATAAAAGTTACTCCTCAAGGAACATCCTTAAATCTGCTACACAAAAGACAACAGCTTTTAACAAAGCACACAAGAACCTATTCTTCTCTCTGAAAAATACAGCATTCTGTTGGGTAATCATAATTTATGTATGAGATGTTTGCTTACTCTACTTTTTCCAGAGTTCCTTATAAATCTTAAAGTTTATTTGTTTAAATTACACTGTAAGTAGTCTGAAAATTAAAGTCAGAAAGAGAAGATACTGTTGATATTTATTTCTCTGACCTCCCATAAAAACCACTGCATAGGTCGTCTGTGCATTTATTATGATTCATAGTTACAATTTGTTGTTATGTGATCTCTAGCGGTCATAATAATTTTGATGGGAGCAAAGAAGGTAGTCAGGAGACAGCTATACGACAAACTCCACATTCAGATGAGGTTGGGGTTGATGGATGAGCAACACAATGTTTGACATTGGAGACTGCTACTTGTTTCAAACTCATCTACTCATCTACAACCGCGCCAGACAATGTTGCACCTGCTCCTGAGCCAACACCAACTGATGCCCTGCCAGTTCATCAGTCTCTTCAGCCCTCTGCCCATCCTGCATTGTATGCCAACCTCCATTTTCCAGGAGGGACCATTGGCCACCATGTCATCCTCCAGAGGTTTCCCGCTTTCATTGCCAGTTTCCATGCTGCCGTCTTCTCAAGCGGTCCTGGTCACCTGACATGTATCTATGTTGCTTCCTAGTTGTTCACATTGGTGGACTGTAGTCACCATCTCAGACCGGTACTTCCCATTGCTTCTGGTAAATATTCTCAAACTTTCTGGTCATCTTTGTGTCCATGTATGGTTTTATGCCTCCTCTGTTCATGCATGAACTCATGCCTCTCATTTTCACACACTTATTCTGGTGTTTCCTTGTATTGAACACATCTGTTGTGCCAAGTACTGTTCAGCCAAGTTTACTTTTAATATTCCTCCAGTTGTATTTCTGATTGTGAGCAATAGTGGTGGAATGGTTCAAGTAAAAAACTCTGACCTGCTCGGCTTGCTAGTAACAGTTTGAGGCATGTATGTATTGTTCGGTTAATTTCAAATAGGTTGAGGCATTGGCAGAACAAATATTAGCCTGGTGTCAATAACCCAGTAAAACTTAACTGCCATGGATGAAGTGTCAAGATCAGCTGTCCAGTCTTGAAAATGGCAAGTGGACTAGACAAAAGATCCACCAGCGTCATTTTGGTCTGCGATAAATTTACTGAGAAATCACACTGCAAGCAAGACGTGAGGTTCAGGTTGTCAGAATATCTGTCTGTCTCTCAGCAGGACCGTGGCCAGACAAACTCTCTTCACCACGCTGACAACAAAGCTATAAATGAGCCAGAGACCAAAAAAAAGACCTCAACCTTAAAAAAAACATGATGGGTCCAGGGATGACGCATTTCATATTGGACTTTTATCTCTTCCATGACGAGCATAAAAAGTGGTGGATAACACAACATTAACTCCAAGTCCTGGGTACATCTGAAACAAGTCAGGGAGTTTTCTGTAGTAGATCTCGTTTTGTGCCTGAGAGTGTCAACAAACTCATCTTGCAGAAGAACATAATTTTGTGAACTGTTCCACCCCTAGTAAAGCACATTTTGGTAGTCAGTAATTCATGCCAAACAATTTCTGTTGCTGTCTTTATAAGATCACTGCTGAGTGGCAGCAAGAATCAAAGGAAAGGTGTACAAGACAGTAGTGAGACCAGCTATGCTGTATGGGTTAGAGACTGTAGCAGTGAGGAAAAGACAAGAGGCAGAGATGGAGGTAGCAGAGATGAGGATGTTGAGGGTCTCTTTAGGAGTGACCAGGATGGACAGGATTAGGAATGAACACATCAGAGGGACAGCTCAGGTCGGCTGGTTTGGGGACAAGGTCAGAGAGGCCAGATTGAGATGGGTTGGACATGTGCAGAGGAGGGATAGTGGTTATATTGGTAGAAGGATGTTGGAGATGGAGCTGCCAGGCAAGAGGTCAAGAGGAAGGCCAAAGAGGAGATATATGGATGTGCTAAAAGAGGACATGAAGTTAACTGGGGTGAGAGTAGAGGATGCCGAGGATAGAGTTAGGTGGAAACAGATGATTCGCTGTGGCGACCCCTAATGGGAACAGCCGAAAGAAGAAGAAGCAGAAGACAGTCTAGCATTACTCTTGCTTAGCCTCATTTTATATTTTTTGTTTAGCTCTTCTTAATTCTGCTTTGACCCTGGTTATTGTGTTCACCTGCTTTGTTCTAATTGGTCATTGTCTGTATTAAAGTCCTTTCTGTTCCTCTGACAATCAGACTTACTACAGTATTTGTTAGTGGTTGGGTTCATTTGGGTTTTCTAATTGGCTTTGTTGACAGTAAGAAAAACAGAATATTGCCAGGCATATCAATTTGTTACATTAAGCTACTATTGTTTGATACAGTATTAATCAAATCAGTCCATGTAATGTGACACATTTCTTAGTACTACCAATCCAAAAAGCACTGTGAATCAACAGCTTACTCTGCATCCTTACACTGTTCTGAGCAACAGTGGCAGGACTAATAGGAAAAGAAGCAAAGAGGTGAAGTGATCTACCTGAAATGTGAATTTCTGGTGGGCAGATCTCAGGAGAAGGTGAGGGCACAGGGACCAGCTCCTCTGTACAAATCTGCACAAAAACACAAATATATTTGATTGTGGAAAAGAAATAAAAACAGACCTTTGATGAAATTATAGAGATATAGACACAGTTGATATGGCAAGGATGTTCCACAAACAGACACATTAGAAGCCAATGGGAAGCTTTGAAGTGACCATCATCTGCTAATCTAGAGTAAATTACAGTCATTTATACATTATGGGAGACTACAAAATTTACATCCTTCCTGAATATAAAGTGTGCTGCTAGAAGTTTTTTTACTGTATATTTTATTGGCTTTAAAGCTACAATATGTAACATTTGAAAATCAAGTTAGCGCCAGCATGAAATGTAAAATCTAAAGCTGTATTTAGTGGACACTAAAACACATTCCAACAATGGACCTTAAGAGCAGAGACTCACCAAGCCGACTTGAAAGAACTAGCAGCGATGTAAATCGACTGTGGCATCGCCTTCCGTTGCATTTGTCTGTGCCAGTCAAGAACCCACCACACAGACTACAGCCAATTAGCAAGTATGTTGTGTGCCTGCACGACAGAAATAACTCCCCCTACCCGCACTTGGTGGCATCTGTATTCACCATTTAGAAAGCTAAAAAAGAAGAGCTAGGCTGCGGATGTATAAGCTACAAACAAAGCAGCTGTCATTCAGCCCAGCTGCTGTTTATAGATGCTTCTAATTGAGAATATAAGAAGTTGCAAATGGCACTGCTGATCTCCGCCCCTTGGTCTTTTTTTTTAAACTTTGACTTTATTAATGTATATAAATGCAAAGTGATTTTTTTTTTTAGTTTATAAATTTAACTGATCATGTTAAACTTTTGCTTTAAGAATAGTATACATTTATTCCAGCAGCAAACGTCAGGTTCCACAGAAAGCAAGAACAAATAGAAGACAAACAATTCCACTCCAGTGTATTAGCTGAGGAAAAGATTCCAAAAAGTTTCCAAAGAGTCTCTTGCTAACTTTTATCTTCCATCCCACTGTCAATATGTTGACAGGGAAGTCTAAAATGTGTGCTAAGCCAAGCCCAGTTATTTTTCATTCACTTAAAGTCACTGCTGCTTCTGCTGTTCTAAACTTGTTGCTGTGGAAGAGTAACAAAATTGTATGTCATTTAAAAGGCCACTGAACTAAATGTCCAGAACTGTCACATACTGTGGAGCTGATCTCAGGTGATGTGATGTGGACCTTTAAACGCCCAGAGTTGCCCACAGCTTGCTGCACTTTGTTGTGGAGAGACGTGCTGCTTGGAAAGTGTCCTTTACCTGGAATGAAGGCTATTTCCACAGTGTTGTCATGGCTGAAGAAACACCACATACAAATACAATTATAAAGACATAAGCATGTACACAGTGACAACAGAGTGTAAGCTGAAGAAAAAGGTATGACCGAGGCCTGGTCTATAGTGTAAGAAAACTAATCCCACCCGATTCAGAGTTTATTCACTTTGAGTGAAAATTTCATACAATACAAGCACCACCCACCTGAATTTGACTTTGTTCAGCATGCTTTTGGCTTCCTCATTGGTCACACCTATCAAGGACTCCTTGTTAATGGCAATGAGCTGATCTCCAGGCCTCAGACATCCATCCTGCACAAAAGTGTGACAGGGCCTTGACTTGTGTTGAAATGAAGAAACACACAGGACAACCTTCTTTTCTTTTTGTGGCCTACTCTAATAAATAGATCTTCCAAACGTTCTTGATGTATGCCCAGTGGACTGCTCCTGTGTGAGTAATTCCACTGCCAGAACATACTGTAAATGTAACAGGTAGTCACTGCCATATGTTCTGGCCTTTGTTTACCTCTCCCAACAGAAGACTAATTTCTACAAAGTGGTCAATAAACTTTCCAGCCTAACCCAAATCATTCTAATATGAACTTAGCGCCAGTCTCACAAAGTCCACAACAGACAAAACATTGTGAGATCGCAATAAGCAGAGGTCAAACTGAGGACACGCTTTGTGAAGTTAAGGACATGCTGATGCTCATAACCTAAATTAAGAAAGCATTATATGGTGAGTAGTCCATTGTTGATTACCAGTGGTACTTGTAGCCACTGAAGATCGATCTCCTTGGTCATTTATGTAGAAATACTGTATCTTCCATATTTAACATTTTGCCACCTTAAAGATACAGCAAATCACAGGGCATGAAATGCTAGCTTGGTTCCAGTATGACACAAGGGATTTAGATTTGGGATTTGGGGGAACTGAACATTGTCTCCACCTGTCGCTCATTATCCTCTGGCCTTCAGCCTTTATATTCACCTCCTTTCCCTCAGTCACTCGTTGGTTGATCCTATATCCTGTGCTGGTTCTGGAGACCCGTTTCCTTGTGCTGTATTCCTGTGATTTGATTTCCTGCTTTGTTCTCCTCATTTGTTACCCATCACTAGTTTTCCATTATCGGTTTGTTCACCTACCCCGCTGTTCCTGTCTCCCGCTCGCTTTCTTCTGTTTCTAGTGCTCCATACCGGCCACCCAATCGTTTCCTTCCCACTCACCTCACCTTGCAGTTCTGCTTTGTATGTCCTGTATTCCGTCTCCTGTTTGTTCCCTGCCCTTGGCTAGTGTTGTATTGTTTCTTTGAATTTTGGGTTTATCTGTCAGCGACACCCTTGGTTACTTTCTCTGGCTTTCATTTGTTTTTTTCCCTTAGCTCCCTGATCTGTTTGTTAAGCTTACTGGCATTCTCTGTACTCATGGTCAGGTTGACCCTCTTATGTTTTTTGCCCTTAATCCTTTGTTCAAATCCTTTATTAAAGACCTGGGTCTGATATTTGAGTACATCCCTTTCTTAGACCTAACTTTTTGACAGATGGCGTAATCCTTTTTCTTTCTCATGAGATATTGCATTCATAAGAATGGCACGAATGTGAGGTCACAGTGATCTTGACCTTTGACCACCAACATCTAAAGAGTTCATCCTTGAATCCAAGTGGGTGTTTGTGCCAAAATTGAAGAAATTCCTTCAAGGTCTTCCTGAGATATTGTATTCACAAGAATGGGACAGATGGACGGACAACCTCAAAACATAATGCCTTCGATGTGGAGGCATAAAAAATACAATCGTGATATGTAAAAGCAGCACTAAATCCCAAAATGTTCTCCCCAGCCAATGCTGATATTTTTAAGACCTGCTGACATTATTTTATTGCAGATTTATTTTTATTTTTTTTACATAAATAAAACACCATGGTATGCATAGAACAACATTATTCCCTCCACTATACCCTTCTTCTTATCTGGAGTTTTGGAGCTCAATTTTACTCTTTGTACTGTATTTCAGGCTTTTGCCCTCATTTCCTACCTGATGACAGTCTCCTCCTGACAACATCTCCTGGATGAAGACTGCAGGGCCATCAGGTCTGTTGGAGCCTCCTCCAATAGTAATCCCTAAACTGGTGGATCGTGCCACTGAAAGAAGCTGAATCACTCCTTCACCTGGGAGACTGAGAACACAAAGACAAAACATATCAGTCTCTAAGGTAAACATATGGAGCCTCTTGTACACATTAACATTTATCATGCCTTCATGCATTACTTATGTATGTATGTGTCTGTTGGCATATACTGTGTATAATGGATACAAAGAAAGAAGAGACTGCAGAATGGAAATACCAATTTTACAGCTGAGGTCATAAAAAGTGCCTCAATTCATTGTTTTGCTGCCAGACAGAATTGAAAACACTTATTTTTACTGTGTATTATGCTTAGGGCATACAGTGTCTTGGTAACATCCATTATCTATACTGCTTATTACTGAATAGGGTCGCAGGGGCCGGGGGGGGGGCTGTAGCCAATCCAAGCTGAGCCAGTCTATCATATGGCTGACACTTAGAGACCGACAACGTCACACAGTCACTCCTAGGGGCAATTTAGAGTTGCTAGTCAACCTAAAAAAGGCCCTGGTTGGCTGTGAAATAACAGTGCTAGCTTTTTATTTTGTGACCAAAATGTCCTGGTTTAGCTGGATAGAGTGTCCAGGTGTGGCTTATTTGTAATTATAAGTTTGAACTGCCCAGATGATGCATAGATCCAGATCTTCAAAGTGGTAAATTTGTACTTTGGCAAATTAGTCTAATAACAACAGGAGAGCACTGTGATAGCTCATGACCATCCTGTATTAACTATTACCTGAGAGAGTGCAGCATGCGACCACTGTTGTACATGCTTTGAGAGCCTGCTGGGCTCAACGACAGAGGACTCTGGGAACAAGATGAGGAACCAGATGATGTACTATCCAAGCAGCGACCTCCTTTGTATTGGCAAAAAAAGAACATGAGACATTGACCCTGTGCTGAATTGCAAAATAGTAAAAGCCATACTATTGTACACACTCACATATGATTCAATCATTTAATGTAGTAAGCAAACATTATGGTGTTTTCCTAGGTGTCAATAAAAGATGTATTGCAGGGAACTTGTCATTCATTTCAGACATACTAAAATGAGTGAGTGATTTTGCTGCTGCTACAGATGGCAGTAGAAATTAGGCTGCCCACTGAAAAATGTGTCGTCCTGTCAAAGGTTTCTTAGCCTGAGTGACTCTAAGCATTGAATAATACCCGATAGTGTGTGAGCTAAACCATCTTCTGAGAACCCCAAATATCCCCCAGACTTTTTTTTGTCCCAGGAATCAAATGGAAATTCTAGTATGGTGGTTCAGCAAAGCAAAGCAAATTTATTTCTATAGCCCTTTTAAAAATGCAAGGTTACAAAGTGCTTCACCACAAAATGAATTAAAATAGTCATAATAACCATATACTGTATATCACTCAAACACAATATAAATACAGTCGCAACGCCAGGCTTCTGATGTCACTACGCATCAACTGGAGTCAGGCCTTAGCAACCCTGGAGTCCAATCAATGAAACAATCAATGTGATTCAGAACGACCTTGACTTATAAAAACACAAACGGTGTCAGTGTGCTATTTACAAGCAGCATCAGATGATGTGATTCTTGCCTCGCAAACAAAAAGAGATCTCAGAAGACCTACAATGAAGAGCTGTTGATTTGCATGTAGCTGAAAATGGTTAGAGAGTCTTCTCATAGACTTTAGATAGTCCACAGTTAGACATGTTGTCTATAAATGGAAACAATTTGGTGCTGTGGCTACACTACACATAGTTGGGCACCCAGCCAAGATCACTCCAAAGACATAACGCAGAATGCTCAGGGAGGCAAAAAAGAGCCCTAGAATAACAACTAAAGGCTTGAGTGGATTCACTGGACTTGGTGAACATCTCTTTTCATGAGTAGTCAGTCATATGCAAAATATTGGACATGCATGGTATCCATAGCAGGACACCACAGAGGAAGCCATTGATCTTGAAAGACAACACTGCATCAGGCCTGATGCAATGTTTTTGACCTATTTCACCTTTGCCATAGACAAAGGTAAAATAGTTTGGAAAGAACCCACAGCGCTACGTATGGCATAAAAAGAGATCCGCGTACAAACATGTAAACATCATCCCAACAGTGAGGTACAGTGGAGGAAGAACCATGATTTGGGGCTGCTTTGCTGCCTTTGAGCCTGGACCGCTCGCCATTTGTGGAGAGGTAGATGAATTCCCAAGTTTATCAAGATATCATACAGGATAATGTCAGGGTGGCTGTCCGCAAGCTGAAGCTCAGAGCAAGTTGGGTGATGACCCTACACAGTGAAGTAAATCTACTACAGAATGGCTTCAGAGACACAAACAACACCTTTTGGAGTGGCCCAGTCAGAGCCAAGACCGGAACTCAATAGAGATGTTGTGGAATGACCTCGACAGCTGTTCACACCAGACATCTTAAGAATATGGCTGAACTGAAGCAGTTCTATGAGGAAGAATGGGCCAAAATTTCTCCTGAACATTGTGCAGGTCTAATCCACAGGTACTATTTTGTTGTGTTTCCAATCATCTATTATATTTTATGTATTTTGTTTTTATTTATTAAACCTTTTTTTGCTTTGATTCTGGTTTTTAAGGTTTTTGCTGGCCAATGTAAAGCGCTTTGAATTGCCTCTGTGAACACAGCATGCTATCTAAATAAAGTTGCATTGCTTTGCCTTAAATCCATGTCTGTCTCCTCTTGCTGAAGCCCTGTTTTAACAACTCTCTACCAACTGGCATCCTCCTTTCTGACTGAAATATCTGTTGGCAATTGTGTGAATGCATTGTCATAAGCAGTTTTTAAAGGTCGACTTACTCCATCTACCCTTCAGGCTGAGTACTCTACCAAATATAGAAAGGTAGTCTGTCAGCAAATGAAATTCTCTTTGTGTCTTCGCAGACATTGTACATACTATAATTTTACCATGTTCCTGCTTTCTGTACCCAGGACATTGATTGCATGTCTGAAATAGGGATCTCTCCTCTGTTGCTTTGAGGAGTTTTTCTTTTTCCGACTCTACGGTCTAATGGCAGAAGTTGCCATATGCTGTGTACAGTCTTTATTTTTTATACAGACATGAGGCAGTGTAGACAGTGTTTGGTGACAGGAGAATTTGCAATTCACTGTTTGTGAACACACTGTCAGATATTTACATTACAAGGAGATCTACCCACATCATACTGTTGTGGAAAAAAGTGGAATGCACCATACATAACACTTAACAGGGACTTGCTTACCTTGCTGAATGGGAGAGCTGTGGGTTGATCCCATGCTACCATTGGATCCACATTTTTTCAGCAGTTCAGTAAATTCTCTCCTTTCAAAAAAGCACCCACCCAAACAAACAAAAAGATATTTAAAAACCAGCTCATTTCAGACGGTTGCCAAAGAAGAAGAAGGGAAAATCGATGACAAATTAACCATGTTTGGCACAGACAGTCCTTTAATATGATAAGCTGCCAGACTACTGTCTCTGGCTCTGCAGCTGTACGTTTCTGATGAGCAGTCACCAGCCACATTAACCTGTGTTTGTCTTTGTTGTTTTGTTTTTGTTGTGTCCTGATACTTTATTTCTTTTGCCTCTCCTCTATCCACTCACCCCAACAGGTCACGGCATGAGGCCACCCACAGGAGCTGGGGTCTGTCGGAGGGTTCTTTTGTTAAAGGGAGTTTTTCCTCTGTCGCCAAGTGCTTGCTCAAGGGGATTTGTTGAGTTTTCCTTTATAATAGTGTAAGGTCTAGATCTTATTATTTAAAGTGCCCTGAGATGACTGTTGTTGTGAATTGGAACTATACAAATAAAATTGGATTGAATTGAATAGTTCACTATTACATTGACTTCACCATGCAGACTTGTCATTTTCAACATGCCAGGTAGCTGCTGACCATATGATTTTCCCTACCAATGGCCCTATCTGATGGAGAAAAACTATTCCAAAATTAAGGCTCCCCTGATAAGCAATCAGTGTGCTGTATGAATGTGCAGTAATATCTGCTTACTTTGCTTCCTCATCTCTGGCTATGAGAAGGTACATGTGATTGGTTGAGGCGGCTGCTCTCAATATATCCACAGCTCTGTGACACAGAGACACAAATATACATTTACATTGTTGTTATAGCATCACCAATTATGAGAAACAATCATGAGAGCAGTATGATTTTACAAGATTACCTTTCATTTGTGACTCCTTTGAGACTGTCCCCATTTACCTCCAAGATCTGGTCCCCTGGCATCAGATTTCCTGTCAGTATTCAAAGAATCAGATGATAGCCCTGTACATTGGATGTGTAATCCATTACAGGTGTGCTTTGTCTGCTGCTAGAGAAGTAGATTTTTTATCTGACAATGTAGCTGAACATACACCAAAGCAGCCATCACTTAATTTCTTGTCCTTTACAGCTCATGGTTTTAAAGCCTTTTTCTGCAGTAAAATAAGGTCTGATATGAGGTTAGGTCTCATTTCCAGCCTCTTCTACAGAACTAACTGAACATTATGCTAAATTGCAGATAGTCTTCGTTTTAACACATTTTGACAATTTATCAAATTTTGAGACTAAATCTCCTGAATCACAGGTGTTGGCTTCTAAAGCTCTTCGTAATCTCAGTCCTGTTTCTGACTCTTATGTTTTCCTAGCTCTGTTCCTTCTGGACTTTTCTAGAGATTGTCATTCCATATCCTGTCTCCACTATTGCCTTTGTATATCTGGGACATTTTGAATGAATGCACTGTGTGTTTTTCTGAAGCTAGCTTAAGTTCTAGTGAATACTGGGAGGGTGTGTTCGATTTATGTAACTTTACATGCTCTGTGGGTGGTGTAAATGCAGCTACTTATGAGAAGGTAAAATAACTATAGCCTGAATGGTAGTGAGCAATTAGCCCTCAACAGACTTAGCATTGGAGTACAGTGATGATTTACATTATATGAACATTCATGCTATCCTGAGAGCCCGTCTGGGCCCCTAAATGGTGTGGGCCCGGGTGCAGCTGCACCACTTGTACCCCCCGAGGCTCTGCCAGTGACTTACCATCATTTGAAGCAAGGCCACCTGGTAAAATCCGTTTGACAAAGACTCCAAATTCCCCTCCAGTTTGCTCCTTCACTCCACCAATCACTTTAATTCCTGTTTGGAGAAGAAAAATAACTATCTTAATAGGTTTTTAAATTATTTTTTCTCAATTTTGCAACCAATTTTATAGACAATGACAGTGACTAGAAAGACAAGATTTTCTTATTGCTTAAAGTTGCTTGAGACATTTTGGATTTCACTGTAAAGTTTCAAGACAATATTTTACTACCTGTGCTTGACCACACAGCAGGAAAATTTATGCAACTTACCATCAAGGCACCTTTTCACTAAAATCACTGTATATACAGTATTTTTCCTGTCTCTGCCTGCATGTAAATGTCAATGAAACCACCAGATGCTACATCACTATTTCCACAGTAAAAAGCCGGAAAACTCCAAAAGAGCAAATGGCATTTAATGTCCATAAATGAAGAATATTAACTTGGAACAGGTTACATTTTGAACATTTTGATTTCAGAAGAAGAGTGGAAGATCATTCATCACGAGCTACCAGTTTGTTGGCATACTGCTGACAAAAAGGAAATGGCAGCATCATTTACTGTAAATCAGCTACATGGAGTCTGGTAAATAAAAATGCAGGGAGGGAAGTAAAGAAAGATTAAAGAGAGAGAGAGTGAGAATTAAAATAGATACAATAAATAAAAGGAAACAAATTAAGAACAAAATCTGTTTTAAAAGATGCTTTTGGTGTACATTTCCTCCTAATGTTTTTTATTTATTTTTGGCATTTTGCCTTTTTGTGTGCCTCACAGAGAGCCATAAAGCACCTCTATCTTAAAAGGATATTTTACCATTTGACTAATTGTTTTCATGCATATTCTGCTTGCCCTTGCACCATTTTTACCAGTGTGGTGGTGTGGGGGTGAAGTTAAAGCAAAGTTAAATACAATAGCAGCTCAAACATTCTTAACTGACATAAGTGAATTAGTGCTTTGCTACATGACCTACTTCTCCTTCCAGGCAAAAACACTGATGCTTAGCAAGGATACCTACTCAGCAGAGAAAATCCCTTTAAAAACAGGACTTATTTTATTTACAAAATCAGGCTCCATTGCCAGATATTGGAGGATTATTGAGGAGGACTATGCATTATGTCATTAGTTTAAGCTAAGCAATATCAATTGGACTTCATTAAATAAAACTGTTTTGCTCATTTACCTCACATACTATAGCTGACTTTTATCAATAAGGTCAACATCAAGTGCGGTATCTACCAAGGAGATGCTCTGTCTTCGCCGCTGTTCTGCACAGGGCTGAACCCCCTCATCACCAAGCGTGGTTATAGATACTGACTACAGAATGGAGCAACCATCAGCCACCTCCTCTACATGGATGACATCAAGCTGTATGCCAGGAGTGAACGAGACATTGACTCACTGATCCACACCACTAGAATCTACACCTAGGACAATAGAATGTCATTTGGACTGGATAAGTGTGGTTGAATGGTAACAAGGAGAGGGAAGGTAGTCAGGACTGAGGGGATTGTACTACCAGAAGGCAACACAGCAGATGTTGAGGACAGCTACAAGTACCTTAGGACCCTGCAGGTAAATGGGAACCGTGAAGAGGCCGCAAGGAAAGCAGCAACTACCAAGTACCTGCAGAGAGTAAGGCAAGTCCTGAGAAGTGAGCTGTTTTTCTATACACAGCTGTTACAATGAAATTAAGTCCTCCATAATTTGTCGGCCTCCTGTGCTTCACTCAACAGAACATTTGTCTGGCTGTCAGCAGCTTCTGATGAAGGACAGTAGAAGGGGAAACTGTCTTCACCAAGCTGGCTAACAGCTAACGTATGGATCGGGCTGCATAGTTCTGTCTGAACCCAACCTGTGCCTGAGACTGTGACATCCAAACCCGACCCGGACCTTTCAAGCTTATAGTATATAAAATCCAAGCCTGACTTGAGCCCAACACAGTTGAGTTTGTATGGTGTTTTTCCCCTTATCATTAAATGAAGCAAACACTTGAGTGCTCTAGCCATCTAGACTAAAGTTTAACCTACATGTCTGAACTTGATCCAGACCCGAATATAATTTCTAAATTTCTGTCTGAACCCGGCCCAAGCACTCGGGTACTGACAGGTCCCATTAGGATTGGTTTGGGTATCTGCACTCTGCTAACAGAAGAAATGTATTGGAGAGAAATAGGTTTCATGTATGGATTCATTCACTGATGTTAGTGAGGGCAGGTGACAATAAAGACAAAATGCTCTGAGTTACATCATGAGTCCAAATAGTAATAACAGAAACCAGTAAAAATATTTACTAGAGAAAATAACATGAGATTTGTGTGGTTTAAACAGCTGTCTGGGGAGATTACACTTCACCTAATGTGCCAGAGGAAATAGACCTAAGGCGGAAAAAACAACACCAGGGTCCAGAGATAATGTAGCTAATGCATGTCAGAGTCACATTTGATAGAATAAAGTTCTATCTGCTGTGTGAGAGACACGTCTAAAAACATGCTCAGGGTGAACTGGTCTTAACTGCACCTGTGAATGTGACTGGCCATGTGGTTTTAAGGGCCTATGAGGTGAGTCACTTCAGTGTTTGGTCAACTGATTGATTGGTTGGATTGATTTGTTTCTGCTGCAGCAAAGATTTTGACATGGTGGACTGCCATGGAGAAATGTTACCAGCAGAAACACTGCTGTCTCTCACCTAATGAATGCTGACATAAGGCCTAGCTCCTGACATTTGTGAACTGTGTAAGCATTTATAAACTGTATAGTCCATGAACAGTGAAAGGAATGCAGAGGACATACGTAAGTACTCTGCTTGCAGGAACAACGGCTGCTACATGTTTGCTTTGAGAAATCTTTGAAGCTGAAGCCGGAAAAACTGCCACAAGTAACAAGTTGAATAAATATGATTTAAACTGTGGAAGTGTTCAAGTCAAGTCTAATCACTTTTGGTCAGTTGCAGGGAGTATTGTACCTATCCTTTGTTGCTAAAGAGAAAAGAATTACTTACCCAGGCCATTCTCACAGTCTGTAAACTCCATGGAATGAACAGCTCGGTCTACAATATATGGACCCATTAGTGTCCTATTAGAGATTAAGGGATAAATATGGAGAGGAGAAGGTGGGCAGACAAAAGAAACAAAAATAAGTACAATACAAACTTAACTATGTGAGTACAATCAGGTTTTCTTTTTTTACAGATTAGTTGTAAAGTTACACAGTCAGATTATGACTACATAACTGGAATTTTACTTGATGATGAGCCTTATGTTTGCCTCAGAGAGCTTCTCCTGCAGCCTTACAGGTAACAAAGAGTGTGTCTTAGTGCCTGCTTAATACATTTTAATCCACATACATTCCGTCTTCCACATACTGATAAATACATGTCTATATAAACATCTTTTAACTAGCTGGCTGATCATAGGTTAGACCCAGTCAGGTAAAACAGCAAGTCCCTGTACAGGAACATTTCCAGACATGCAGTAACCTCAGGCTCTGTATTTTTCTCCACATCCTCTGGTCACAGAACAGCAGCAGGAGATAAAATATATCCATAAAAATGGGCGCAGTCGAAAAATTCCACTTTTTACAATGACATTGAAAATAAACATAACAAACAAGACAATATAACATTGGATGTCAGGCAAACGCACATGACGCCCTGGAGATCATGTTTGTTAGAAAAAAGTCTTGCAAGCAAGCGTTTGCGAGACTTCATATAATTAGTAGAAAATATGTACAGCTCATTTTTTGAGTTTTAGGTTACGTTTAAGATGATAAACTGATTCTGATTCTGATAATTCATTGTCGTAGCATTGTAGATACACCAGAAAACAAGGAAAAGCATGCCATGGACACTTTAAAGAAAGCTCAACACTTGTTTCTCTGTCTGAGAACTAACTACTGCAATGAATATGAAAAATACAAAAAGCTTTGGGAGTCAAGTGTCTATGACAGGACTAAGTCAGCCAAGGTATGTTGTGGAACCAGACTTGGGCCAGTATAAGTCCGACACACACCAGTGATGCTTCCCTTTTCTTGTGAAAAAACACTCAAAGTCTCTTCAGTCTCAAATAAGGCATAGGATTTATTGCAAAGCAGTTACAACAAGCAATATCTTGACTTCTGGTTCATGAAGCAGAACAGTTTACAGGGCTCCTGCTGCAGCTTTTATACCCTCTCTACACACCTTCTAGTCTCACATGCTCTATTGCACCTTTCTCTCCTTGACCTCCAACACAGTAAACACCATTGTATTTGAACACAGAGGGGTCAGCTTTAGGCACCTCTACAGACATTAATAAAAACATAAGTAATAAATTCAATAAGCATGCCATTGACATAAGTGTAGGTCCTCTGATGATTGACACTACTAATGAGAAAACAATAACTTGTTCCCAGATTAATGATACCTCAAAACACCTCCAGACATCATCAACAAATCAAGAACTCATTAAGGTGACAAAAAGTAACATGGAACATATCACTTTGTCTTATAAATATGTCCAACTTGTTAGAAAGTAATAAACACATTACCCTGTCACAAGGTGTCAGCTTAAAAATATTAAACCTTAACATTAAAGACTCAACATGTCATAGGATTACATCTTAAAAACAGCAAATATTTACATCAAACGCTCTTTTCTATCTCTCCCTCTCTGGGGTGTGACAGGTGGACTCATGCCGCCTTTTAGTCTGGGCTGCAAAACTGGGCAGCCAATCGAATGACAGACTAGTATACCCCTTCAGGTTACTGTAGGACACCAGGGTCATCCCATGGTCATTCTTACACACAGAGAGACACCCTCGGTCATCCATGTGCACCACTCTACAGAGCAAGTATAATAAGAAGTGATGAATGAATGGCAATGAGGTAACACAAGCTTTACAAGTGAATAAAATAAAATATAAAAAGAGTAAAAATGCAATAAAATAAATAAAAATATAATAGGAAACATGTGTCAAATATAGCAATTTAATAACTGAAACTAACTTAAACATATAAGGCTACAAGCATGAGACTAAAACTTACTCTAAACTTCCTTGGTCTCCCACAGGTACCAGCACAGAAACACACTGAGCAAACCTAAACAGAAAAACTCTTCAGAAAGTGATGTCATTGTTTTTGTACTGTTTTACCTGAATGCTTTAGTTTTAGGTAAAACAGTACATGAAATTTTGTTTTTATTAACCTTAGGAAAAACAGTTAATATGGTATTAACAAGAGAAATCTAATACAATATGACTTAAGCATATTTTTGACGAATACAAAATCCCACAATATACCCAGATGCCATTTTTTTACCAATATTGCACAGCCCTAAACCTCATACAGGTTGTACTGAGTTATCATTAAATTATTGGTGCCCACCACTTAGCTTGGCCATGTTTGGACAGAATATTGTCATAATCTCAAGAATCCAAATGCCTTCATCATAGATAAGCGTTTTCTTTTACTAAACATCACAACTGAATTCAATAATGCAACCTGTTATGAATCTGAAATTGATTGATCTATAACATGTTAAGACTTTCTTTGCTGCAAGTGGGCCCAAACTGCCTCACACTGTCTCTTCATAAAGGAATTTTAGTTGTTTTAAGATAATATAATTTACAGTTATTGGCAGATCGATCAAATAATAGGAAGAGACATGCAGGGGGAAACGTCCCAATGGTTAATTGACTGCATTTTGTCAACAGCATCTCAATCATTAAAAAACATTTTGATACCCTGACGTCTGATGTGAATTGTTTCGGATTTTTTTCCAACATTGCAATTTTTCATCCGAAAAGGTGCTCTATATTGCAGCCTCTAGGCTACCGAAAAGCAGCTCTCGTTGCGCACGGCACACAAGAGCAACAAACAACCGGGAGGTTTATCCTAATGAGTGGAATGGTCAACAAAATAACAAGAAACTCAAATGTATATGCTACACACTTGAATATTCAAGACGTGTTGATAAAGAATATTGTCCTCTTAACACACATAGCAAATAGATTCCGACAAAACTGCTCCATCATCAACATGCAGCGCAGCGCCATGTATCCTCCAATGCTTAGCGCGCCAGCCCCACGTCAAATAAACAGTTTCCCCACATACAATAAACGCTATATTTGACTTGTTTTCCCAGGAGCACAAGCGTCACGCCAGCACCGTCACTACATCATATACTCAACACTAAAAAAAAAACTAGGCATGCAGTAGTGTCAACCGTGTTTCAGCCACTGGACACATTCACTCGACGCGCAAGTCGTTTAAATTTTACCTGCTAATGATGACAGCTCCTTTATAGATGACAGAAAAGGTTGGCATTTTGACACTGAACCAGCTTTTTCGGTTGGACAAACGCAGCCTACCCAGATTTCAACCTTCAGCAAGTAACCACATGATGGTCCGTCCACACAGACCAGGCTGTCCCCTCTGAACATTTCCACTGTCACCCACACATTTAATCTCTTACATAACTAAAGTCAACATAAACTAAACAAATGTAATGAAAATGGTGAGCAAAGTGTGATAACTTTTTGCACAAGGGGCTAAATCTCACAGAACTAATAGGGCCTGCCAAAGTCTTTTTGGGGCCCTAAGCAAAATTTTATATGGGGGCCCTAGATGCCTCTGTGCCACCAGTGCTATTGACTATTGTCAATGATCGATCCTTCACACATATACTATAACTCTAACACATGCACTATCAATTTTATTACTTGTTGCACTTTGCTCACATCATGTCAATGTCAGCCCAGCATGTTTGAATTTGTGATTATTTTAAGAACAATTTAAAATCAAGGATACAACCACAATAAAGCCCATAGGCGTATCTCATCATGGTAAAGGCAATCTAGCATGTATGTTTTAAATCTTAAAAGGTAACTAACTCAAAGAGTGGGACAACATACCAAATAAGAAGGTCTGTGTATGAAATATAATTCATTTGTGATAGTTCATCTTCTATAAGGAATAATGTCTTTGCACACATTTACTTGTACCACCTTGATATTCACAAACTAAAGGCAAAAATGTATGTTGTATTTCATAGCACAAAGGTTGGCTCTACAGAAATAGTATCCATCAAATGTCTGTTATTTGTTGTCAGTTTCCATTTACCCACTTAGATAATGAAATCAGAAAAAAAGAAAACCAGTCACTGGGACCTTCACAGTAAACCATCTAAGAATGAGGGTAAATATTGTAAAAGTAAAGTTCTGACTCTTGCAGCTTAATAGCTGTGCTTTGACAAATATTAAGTGATATTTAAAAGTAACTTTAATATACTTACCTGTAAGCTAGATTTATTTAAATAACGCTCATTTAATAGAAGATAAGGACATCCTTTGGGATATGCAGGGGAAATAAGGAAGCTTTCAGTCAACTAACAAACTCCCTAACTGCTTGCTAACAGCTAGTCAACTGAGACTGCCAGGTCTCAGGACACAGAGTAACTTTTATTATGCCAAAATTCAAATATAAATTCCCAAGAAGCCATGAACAGTTTGGGTGCAACTTCACACACCAAGCCCATCTATTTATGAATTTATGACAATGTCACCAAAAACATAAATATTTTGACCGTGATAAACACAGATTTTAAGGTGTATGTGTTGCTCTGAATTGAATATAACTGTACAGGTGTACCTAAAAAAGTGGCTGGTGAGTGTATATAATCTAATCACTGACCACAAGAGTGTACACGTATCTTTTTTGGGTGTGTTGCAGGCATCAAATTTTAGTTCCAATTAGTTTATTTTTTACAAAATGCAATTAAGTTGGTCAGTGAAAATAATAAAAAACCTTTTCTTTGTACATTCGTCAGTTAAACAAAGGTTCAAGTGAATGAAAAATCACAGATTAAAATTTTTATTGCATTTTACAAAATGTCCCAACTTCTCTTGAACTGGGGCTCGTATTTATTTTCACTTGCACTGACATTACTGCAAATTGAACCTTATGGAAAAGACAAATGAATAAAAATTAAGACTACCATAGTTTTAAAAAATCTACCAGCAGTGTACTTGTCTATTTGGATAAAGAAACTTTTAGAAAACTTAAGTCTCTCTTTCCAGAAAGAGTGCCATTGTAACTCTGAATAATCCACATCCACAGATTACAAAGTCTATAATTTCTTTAGAACTACTTCTTTTGCTGTTGTTGGAAACAACAACAGCATGGCATGTGGAAACCAACCCATTTATTCTCAATTCCTCAGCCTCATTGGAGCAAGACACCCCCCTACTCCCAAATCCCGTTTTAACCCCTTCAATCAGTGGTAGATAATCAAAATAGAAAGTATACTTTCAGTGCACAGAAAAAGTAGTGAGCGTACTACAGTGACTTACCCTTAGACTACACCAATGAATGACAAATCTCGTGCTGTATTTGTGCAGCTTGTTTGAGGTTGTACAACGAGCTCATTGCAGCATTTGTGGCTCTCCAGTCTCATGAAACAGTAATGGGTGCATTGCAATTTCATGCACCAAAGTGAAACATAGAAGACTTTGCACATGACTTAGACAAGCCAAACAAAAATTACGCAGCTTCATCAGAAGTACACATTTACAATTTAGACGATAAAAGACTATAACACTGGTGAACTTTTCTAACTCTGATAAAGATCATCCCTTAACTTTTCCATACAAAGCATCTGGGAGTGTCTCCAAGACAGGCCCAAACTGGGTTAGGTGGACACAGCAATTATCGAAGCAATTACTGTACCGTGAATACATAAAATTGCAATTTTACACTGCCCACGACACCTGTATTATTGGATTTATTCAATAATGAACCTGAATTGACTGGGAAGGAACACAGGACAAATCTACATCATAACAGTGTTCCAGATAAGGAGGTGAAAGATGTTAAGGCCAGGTGACTTAATCAGAGCATGTTGTTTTCCTCTGTCACAGCAGAACTAAAGTGATGCTTGGTGCCACTAGAGGCCTGAAATCACAGGACAGGAGTCAAGCAGATAACCTGTCAGAGTGCATCCAGTCAGACGTGGAACCTGTGTCATAGCATGTGTGTCAGTTTCACAATAGAAATCAAGTCAAGGGCACCAAGACAATGTGCTGTCTGTGAGGTTTCAGTGTCAAAATCATATCAAACCTAAATGTTCTGTGATTATAATGTTTATTTTAATTATTGTTTAGACCACAAATATGCACATTTGAGAAGCTGTATTGTATTTCACTATACTAAATATACCAGAGTCAGTGTTGTAGTACTCAAGTCCTGATTATCTGACTCAGTGCAAGCTTAAGCACTGATGACTTGGACTTTCACTTAAGCGATGACTGCTTTCGGACTCGGAGTTGGGGATGAAAACTTTTTTTTGGTAATAGGCCATAATAATTTGGCATAGTCAATAATACACAATTAAATATGCCAAATATTGTGAGGGTCTATTGGGAACATTTAGCAGAACCCCCCTGGGAGATCTTCAACTCCCACCTCCAGCAGAGCTTTGACCAGATCCCGGGGGAGGTTGGAGACATTGAGTCCAAGTGGACCATTTTCTCTGCCTCCAATGTCGATGCGGCCGTTCGGAGCTGTGGCTGTAAGGTTTCTGGTGCCTGTCGCGGTGGCAATCCCCGAACCCGGTGGTGGACACCGGAAGTAAGGGATGCTGTCAAGCTAAAGAAGGAGACCTTTCAAGCCTGGTTGGCTCGTGCACACCTGAGGCAGCTGACGGGTACTGGCAGGCCAAGTGGACTGCAGCCCGGGTGGTTGTGGAGACACACAGTATAGATACCGGCTTTCATCAAACTCAATTTGACAGTTCTAGGTGAAAGGTTATCCAATCAGAAGCTCCATCCTCAGCCCGCACAGTTGTTCTCCCCCGTACTAGATGAATCTAAAAAATAAAGACCAGGTAATGATGCAGTTTGTAATGTTACAGTATATAGTGAATAAAGCAAATGGTGCATAGAAAGTATAGTAGTGATTTGAGAATTAAATAGAGTTAAGCTGATATTTAGTTTCAAAAATGAGGAGAGACAACAGCTATTTTAAAAAAGACATAACCATTATTATTGGGGTTTCTGTTTGTAATGTTATATAGTGAATAAAGCAAATGGTGCATAGAAAGTATAGAGTTGACCAGATATTTAGTTTCAAAAATGAGGAGAGACAACAGCTATTTTAAAAAAGACATAACCATTATTATTGGGGTTTCTGTTTGTAATGTTATATAGTGAATAAAGCAAATGGTGCATAGAAAGTATAGAGTTGACCAGATATTTAGTTTCAAAAGAGGACACGACAGATGTCCTTGAGTTATTTATTGGGGGTAATTCTGTAGATGGTTAAAACAGAGCCTATAGCATATGTTCCTCATCACAGAGCTGTGTTTTTTGTAAGAGAGGTGCAAAAACAGGGGGTAAAACACCTCGCAGCTGTTCACCCCCCTCTCTCAGACTCGCTGCTTTATAAACCGCTCTGCTTTTCTGCTGTGTTGTACCTCTGAAAACTCATTTCCTTCAGCAAGCAGCCTGTAATAACAAGAGAGAAAAATGGCTACATCATTTACTCCTATTGAAAAATTAAACGGGGTTATCAGCAACGTACCCATGATGCTGACCGAAGAGTCAGCCTTGTCTCGAGCTCCGAAAAAAGTCACCATGCAACTGTGCAGAATTCAAAAGCTACCGAATGCTTCGCTTCGTGGTGAGTTGAAATTATTGTCAGGGTATGTCGGGTACGTGTTTCAGTATACAACCGGCGAGCTGGCCCTGTACCAGCTGAGAGAGGGTGAAACTTTCACTCCGGAGACGCTGAGGACTCCAATCACGGCAAATGATTGGGGCATCCTGAGGTACATAGTGATGGAACATCTCATTGAAAGCTACCAAGATGCTAATGATGAGGAAGAGGATGATGATGATGATGAGAAGGAGGAGGAAAAGAAGGAGAACCGAGACCCAGCAAATAAGAAAAGACAATATCCTGCAGAGTAGATGGAGTCTCAAAAGGGGTGTGATGAGGAGAGCGGTAACAGTAACCCCCTGAGCAGCGATGACATCAAGGAGATGGTTCTCTCTCCTCAACCACCCCTCACGGATCTTGACACGGTCCATGAGGAGCCTGAAGCGGAATGTAGCCACGAGCTGGACGGGGGTATGTTCAAACTGTTTTCTGACATTGTAAAGTCCCTCGTCACCCGCGTCTTGTACGCTGCAATTTGGGACCACAACAAATATCTGTGTTACGGCTGCAAGATTTCTCATCCGAGCCAGAAGCACCACACGTCTGTTTGGCATCCCCGACAATTTTCTGAGCGCTCATTATGACAGTCTTTTGCCAAGTTTTTCTCAGGAGTTAGGAGTAATAACCAATGTTTATCTAC